TGCCAGCCCGCTCAGAGATGTGTATAAGAGACAGACATTAGGCGATCGATTCGAAATCGAACCATTGTTGATTCGAAATTCTCGAACTATTCGATTTCAAATCTCGCAGATTCGAAAACGAACTTGAATCGAATATACTGTGATTCGATTCGATTTGAATTCGAACTATTCGCATACCTCTAATAACTATAGAATATATATAACTATATAGAATATAATAATTATTTAAATGTTAATACAGGTTGACCACGCTCTTATTTGACAGATTGTAAATTACCGCGAGAACACGCGTTATTATCTATAATATATTAAATAATATAGATAATTATATGACAAAAAACTTTCTAAACAGAGACAAGGCTGTAAACGCCAGGAAAGAGAGGCACGCGCTGAAGGAGCAGATCAAACAGCAGCAGAAATTATTGAGAGAAGAAAAGAAGAAATACAAGCAGCTGCAGAAGCAAGTGGATAAGATGGCAAAACTGATGGGGGATACCGACGACGACGAGGAAGAAGAAGTGGAAGAAGAGGAGGAGGAGGAAGAGACGGAGTCTGAGGAAGAGTCGGAATCTGAAGAATCGGAGGAAGAGGAGTCCGAGTCTGACGACGATCAAGCACCGGTCGAGAAGCGTAAAAGCATTTTGCAAGTGAGTTTTGGCGAACGAAGATGGAATTTCTAAATTCCTGTTTCTTCTGAAACATTCATTTCTTTTTTCAGAAACACGTGAAGCAGCATGAGGGACGACTGGCAGCCTTGAAAAAGGGCAATTATCTGCTGAAAGCGCAAGTAGACAGGATCAAGGACAGTCTGATAAAGCAGCGAGAGAATAGTCTCAGCTTGCAGGAGGATCTCGATTCTGTCTTAGCCGAACTAGGTTAGACTCAACCATTGCGGCATAAGCAAAGAATATTTCCACATGCAGAGATTGTATCGTATACAAATATGCACAAACATGCATAACGAATATTACACATTGAAATATAGACAATTGTATGTTACACACATAATATTTTTTAATAAATTATTATTGACCGAACGGAGCGGAGCTTCTCGTAATAGCTTATTGAGCATACAAATAGCTTCGATCAAACAAATGCTCTGTACGTGTTCTATATGTATTATATATAATGACGTTCTATAAGAATTTAACAATAAGATGTAAATGTTAAAACCTAAATGACTTGAAACGTTCCCCGGCGTTTTTCAGTCGATCGAATTGACGAGTTTGTCCGTCAGTTGTTGTATTGAACATAGCATGTGAGAATTTATTCTTTCCCACCAGATGCTTGTACGATTTATATTGATAATATTTGCTAGATACGATACAAACGAAAAAAATGTACAATTGGGAAAAGTCACTGGATAATAAATAAATCACGCATGCAAGCACGTGAGAGAATATTAATTTTAGAATATTCGCGATATGAAATATATGCAATTTTTCTTAAATTATGTATGCTGTATTGACAGCGATAATTAAAGATATCGTGATTGTATTTTTGCATCAAGTTTGTCACATTTTGTGACAATTTTTCATTTAAAATCAATTGGATTACATTAACAAAAAGTATGTTAAAACAACTAGATCCATTAAAAAACTTGCCTTTTCATGTAAACATTATACTTTTCAAACACTTGTTTCTTTACCAAACTTTTTTAAACTTTATTGAAGAAGAAAAAAAGTGAAACATCAAAACGGGAGTTCTTTGCGCGTTGAAGTACTCACAGGAACAATTTTTTACCAAAATGCAAGTTGGTCTCTATACACAAAAATTTTAGATTATGCTAGACTAATTGGTCAAATTCCGATTTTGTTCGTTCTCTGTTGTCTTTGAATACTTTCAATGTGAGAATATTTTATATCCACAATTAGACTTCTTCTAGAAATAAAGTTTTTAAAATTCTAGTATCTTAAGGATTATAAATTTGTAATTTGTTTTTTTATTATTTAGTGTGAAATGTACTTCATCAAAAGAGGTAAAAAAAACCTACAAAAAACCTGTATGGTCCTCCGCAAAAAAAAGAATATTATACAATAACATTACCATTAAATTTTTTATTATAGATTGAGTGTATACCAATTTTAATCAAAGTGGTCGCAATTGAAAGGTTACACCAATATTATATAATAAAATTGTCATTAAATTTTTTATTATGGATTTTATATAATATGGATAATTCGATAATCAATTGATTGCTCTTAATAATTAATTACTCGATGTTACAATAAAATCCGTGTTTTTTTAAGAAAATAAAAAATTATTCACAATAGTAATTAATAGAATTTGCTACGAAAATACGCTGTACTAACAAAATTTTTCTTCTATGCGGAGCATCGTAAATTACTCGGACTATGCAAAACATAAGAAACATTAATCTATACGTTACATGTTTATCGTCATAAAAATTAAAAAATTCCTTTTTTATTTCAGAGAAGATCTTATCCAAGTTGGATGAATCTGAATAGCTTTTTTTAAATACACAATCACATAAATAATTGACTTTAACGCATTTTTGCTTTACATTTTGCTTTTTTCTCCCTTCACTTCTCTCTTCCTTTCTATCTTTTATTATTCGCTGTTCTTCTGTTGAAACGAGATGTATACAAATATAATTTTAAGGTGGTTTTATCGGGCAAGTCCCAGTCAAAAGTTAGTCCCTCCGTATGATTAATAATTCAATAAAAACATTTCGCATAGATTGTACATATACGATTGTGTGACGTTTATGTGACAACGTCACACTATCGAGTTGGCGTTGAGCGATAAAACCACCTTAAATAAGCAAAATGTAATATCTACGCGCGAATCCTCAAATATAAATTTATCTAATATATTTCACCCAATTTGCGTAATAGTTTCAGGGTATACAAAAGACGTATTTAGACCTTTGAAAAATTCATTATTTGGTAATAAATTTTTTTCTCGGCATTTCAGGATTGAGTGTATACCGAATTTTAATCGAATCGGTCGCAATCGAAACGTCATACCAATATTATATAATAAAATTGCCATTAAATTTTTTATCGTGGATTTCATTTCTGAGATATTTTAATCGAAAATGTATTTGACACGTGAATTTTAGATAAAGTTTATATAGTAGCGCCACGACGACATTTACGCAGCGATGTTCACATCGCACGGCCTATCAATTTCTTTATGTACTACGTACTTGGCGTCGCGTCGCTACCGCGTCGCTTGATCTAGAACAAACGTTATGTTAGATAAATTAAGTATATCTATTTGTTACCGTCAAAACTCATGATTCGTTAAAACCCGAATTCACTAGTTAAAATTAGAATGGTTGATTAGACGTAAAATCGAAAAACCTATGCAGTACAATTATAGACCTTGTTTTACCCCGTAAACAGGGGGGAGGGGGAATTGGACTTCGCTACGCGTGGAAAGTCGAAAATCCATGTAAAACAATTATATAGACTTCGTTCTAATTAAATTAAAAACTAGTTTTAACTAGTGAAATCAGAGCGAATTTAACGATTATGGGTTTTGATCATGGGATTTGACATCTATACACATTTTATTTCCAGCTTTTATAAGCACTTGTATGCATCAATGAATTACGCGGAATGAATTGCTTATCTATTCCGCGTAATTCATTGACGCATACAAATGCAGCGTGCTTATATTTAACGCATCCACAGAGAGTAATGCATTTATTTTGTAAGGCATGTAGAACAAGGGATAGTGATTCATTGGTTCGATGAAACATCTAAGGAAGTTACTCCCGAATGGGAGCACATGACGAGATTCAGGAGGCATAACTTGTCATGTGCTCCCACTCGGGCGTAACTACCTTAAAATTAGGCATTATCCAATATTGAAAATCTCGAGTGCGTTGCTTTATTCCCTCGAGACTGCCGCGGCAGAAGTTGTGCTTGCGGAAATTACATGAATATAAAAATTTTAGAAAAGGCATTCTAAAACATTCCCAGCAAACGAAAATAAATTTATTTCTACATTTCCGAATTGGCGTTTCTTTTTCGAATTTTTCGAATCAATTTTAATCCAAAATTAATATAATGCGGACATGAATACATCCGTTCAACATGATGAATAGCATTTTGTATTTTAATGTATTTAAATCCTGCAAAAATAATATAACAGGAACATCTCCGGACTTTAAAGAGTTTAAAGCATCAACTCGGAAATTAAAATAAATTGAAATTTTAATACAGTTTATTTGAATTAATTTTCGTTTGCTGAGTTACTTCTATAATTTTTTACTAGTGAAGAGAATATATAGATACTCATCCTTTATTCCAAGATAATGTCCGTAACATCTCCACATAATGGGAAAAGGCCTCGACGTCTTCATCAATCGCGTTATGCACTTCAATCTTTTGCGGACAAACCGACAAAACTAAACTTACTAAACATTTACAAGTATTATTCGCTTGCCAAGTCCGCGTTATTTACGCCTTTCGGCTTGTGTGATGACTTGTCCATTTGAGAAAAACAATGTCAATCAATCATGACATAAGAACGGACAACGTCAATTAATCATGACATAAGGATGTTGTCCGTCTTTCTCAAGTGGACACGCCGCGGCGAAATCCTTTAAAAAAACAATTAACTCGCGATCCGGGCATTGTGGCACCGCGGTTTTGAACTTGTTATCGATTTGCTCGTGATCAAATTCACACAACTTTGATTGTCTCATTAAATACATTCTACGCGCAAATTGCATGTCATCTTCATAGGCTGGCGTTTCTTCTCTCCATTGTATCAACTATGAATCGTTGTATAGTCGAGATATACCTTGCAAGTTAATTACATTATTATAATATATTAATTTAAAAGAAAATGTATATTAATTGGTAATATTATATCACAAAATTAGTACATGATTTAATGCACGAAGAATTGCGTGATACCGTTATTCAAAAACTGTATAATAGTGTATAAAATGTAAATAAGAGAAATAATATAAATATTAATATAATACTATTAATAAAATATAAATATAATCTAGTGAAATAAAAAATATAATATTAAAACTATACTACATAGTGTACTGCAGATAATTTTGCGAAAAATTAGCTGCGTTTAGCAGAAACAATAGCATTGCAACTGTAAAGTTTTTAGTATAATCAGTTCTTGTCCTTAGTTCCTTCATAAATCTAATTTGATATTTAGAATCGATATCGATTTAACATCAATTCAATCGTGTCCGTAATTTCGAATGCCAGTGAGAAACGATCGCCAATTCGATAGCGAATCGATGTCGAATTGACATCGATACGATAATTTCGACATCAATTCGACATCGATTCGACATCGAATTGAAAACTATTTCTCACTGCCTAAAAAATATACTTAATTAATTAATACATAATGAATTTTGTTATAGAAAAGATACAGTAAAATAAATTTTTCTCCATAAATTTGTAATAATTCTGCTATATTAAATATAAATATATTTATATAAACGTTTATTTATAATAATTTTATAAATACTTTTCACTATGTAAATAAAAACATAATATTTCAT